AACACCTACATTGAGACATGGTTAAAAGGCAACTTGACTCATAATAACTTAGTTATGTAACTTAGTTACATAGTAACAGTAACAAACTAGAGAGCCAGTTTGGTCTAGTGGTGAAGGCACCAGGCTAGAAAGCAGAAGACTGAGTTCTAGACCTGCCTTAGGTATGAAAGGCGCCTGGGTGACTTTGGGCCAGCCCCATTCTCTCACAGCCCAACCCACCTCACAGGGTGGTTGTTGTGGGGAAAATAGGAGGAGGAAGGAGTATTAAGCATTTTTGCTGCCTTGAGTTATTTATAAAAATAATAAAGGTGGGATAAACAAAATCTAAAAAGAAAAACTTCACAGATGCATTTATCAATGTTTGTTGGCAATGACATGGGATTTGCCATTGCTTTCTTTAGAATTATTTACACACACACACACACACACACACACACACACACACACTTTCCCTGCTAGCCAAAGGCCTGGGATTCCCTGGAGGTGTCCCATCTAAGCACTAACCAAATCCAATCCTGCTTAGCATTTGGAGACCAGTTAGGGTTGGTTAGATCCTACCACCTATCTGGGTAACATTCATCTTTTTTAAAAAGCTGATTGATTCAGATAGAGTCATTCCTTAGTTCCAAAACTTCTGGAAACAAATGCATTACAATCTCTGCACAATATCTAATGTTGGGTATACAGTACACACAGGTTACTCCATTTAAATCCCTGCTCAGCTAGGGAGCTCTCTTGCTGGTCTTCATCTCAGCATGGTTTCTCTTAGTTTAACCTGCTACTCAAGAGCCAGTTTGGTGTACGGTAGTGGTGAAGGCACCAGGCTAGAAACCAGGAGACCATGAGTTCTAGTCCTGCCTTAGGCATGAAGCCAGCTGGGTGACCTTGGGCCAGTCACTCTGTCTCAGCCCTAGGAAGAAAACAGTGACAACCCACTTCCAAAATCTTGCCAAGAAAATTGCAGAGATTTGTCTAGGCAGTTGTCAGGAGTCAACACTGACTCAAAGGTGCACATTCATACAACCTGCTACTCAGAGTTGTCATGAGACTTGATGAGTCTTTGGTGAGATCCAAAACTACAAAAGAAGACTGTGGGTGGAAAAGCAGAACCAATGCCAGGGAAAGAAGCACATACCTTTGAGTTCCATCTGAAGTAAGAAGAGAGGCAAGCGTGCTTATTTTAGGATCATACAGAGAATACTTTCCGAATTTCTTTTTCCCCGGTTGTCATTTGGTTTGATGAAAGGGGGGTTCCAAATGCTTTTTCACCGCAAATCATGTTTTTGATGAAATCCTCATGGATGGAGTGGGATGCTCTTCTGACATGATGACCATCTTTCATTGCATTGTCCCGTATAGTTTCTGGGAAAGTTCATTACACAGTCCATTACAGCATCCGTTTTCTGTGTTTGAATTGCTTAGGTTGAATTTTATTGTAAATCAATTCAAGTTGATAACCGGTCATCTATTTTGGTCAACAACTTGTTCTCTTATTGTAAGCTGCCTTGAGCCTTTTGGAATTGGGCAGTGAACCGGTCTTTGAAATAAATAAATAAATATTTTAATGGAAAACGTATACAGTATATGTGCTTTAAATCAAGTGAATAAATAAATAAATAGTAGTATTGTCCTTCATCATTTCCAACAGTAAGATGAGCTCATCTGCTAAAAATTAATCCATCAGTTGACAGCTCTTTTTTCTTCTAAAAAGGTATCTATATATACAAGTAGTCCTCAACTTAGGACCAGAACTTCCATCACTAAGTGATTTGGTCATTAAGTGAGTCGCACCTGATTTTACATCCCTTTTTGCCACAGTCATTAAGCAAATCCTACTTCCCCCACTGACTTTGCTTGTCAGAAGCCCCCTGGGAAGGTCACAAATGGTGATCACGTGTCCCTGAGAGGCTGCAACCATCGTAAATACATGCCGGTTGCCAAGCACCCAAATTTTGATCACATGACCACAGCGATGCTGCAACAGTCATAAGTGCGAGGACCGTTTGCAAGTCATTTTTTTCAGCATGATTGTAACTTCAAATGGTCATTAAACGAATGGTCATAAGTCAAGAACTACCTGTATGTGAAACGTTTCAGTTTTATTTAGGAAATGTTTATATTGGATTATTTTTATCTATGGAACATGCACAGTGATGAAGATGATGAAATTCCTCCTTCTCTTCTGTTATTGTAACCAGAACAACTTATTGCATAAGCATCATATAATAAAAATACTAAATGCAAGCTGATCCTCAAATGTTATTAACTAGCAGATTACTGACAGCAGCAGTATGAAAACTTAGATGCAACAGTGCTATGAACTGACAGCAGTGAGACTAAAAAGATATTTAAATTATAGAGTGGGGGCTTGAAACAGAA